CCACACACCGCCTCGGCAGGAATAAAGCGGAGAGAACATGAACAGTGATGGTGGGTGGTAGAAAGCGATGAGGACTAATAAGGCGTCAGAATGCTGATGTCAATGCCGTACGTTTTGCGGTGTAATGGTTACGCTCATACGTCTCATACGCCATACGTTGCCAGTGGAATCCTTGTACTCATAAGTTAAAAGTGGGATGGGACAGGGAAAGAAACGGTTGGTGATAGAATTGATAAGGGCTTATAAGGGGCGTCGAAACGCAGACATTACCAGCTTTGCGACTTTCTTCTTGTTGACAGTAGATTATTGTATGTGAATAGGTTGAGAGGGGACCAAGTAAGATTAGACGGGAACATGGACAGCTAGTGATCAAAAGAGTAATGGGCGATAATGGCTAGTAGCTAGTTCATAACGCGAAATTCCGTCGCAATCCTTCGCAGTGACCGTCAAACCTGGCCCGGTTATGCTGGAGATCAGACGTACACGTACGAACTGGTAAAGGAAGCGATTACGATAAAGAAGGAGCGCATCGAGGAAGCATATGCACCATACGAATCAGTTACTTGGTTGCCAGGGAAGCGGATGTGGCGCTTCAGAAAAGATTGCTGAGCAGGATTTTGAAAACACTCCGCCACCAAAAGCAATCCGCTCACTAGTTTACTTGTTGATTTGAGCGAGCTGCGAGCATCTTGGTTGAACCTAGTTTGGCATTGTCCCATAAATGCGTTGCGGTGAACTCGTTCATTAGCACTTTCTTAACTGTTACCTGCTTACGAGTGAAAAGTAATGGCCAAAGGGGGGGGGGACTCATTTCACATCTTCTTGTCGAATTTTCTGCTTTTTCTGCTGCTAGCGTACCATTGAGCACCACCGCGTCACACTGAACCCTCCTTGATCCTTATCGTAATCGCTGTATAACAATTGATAAGGATAGGTAAGTGCGTCCATATGCAAATGAATCTACGTCGTAGCAATTATCACTGGAAAATGTAACAGTAAAGGTGGCGAGTAGTGGAAGAAGGACAATAGGATGTGGTAATGAGCAAAGATGATACTGAAAAAGGTAACAGCCATTTCGTGGGCACTCAACTGAACTGAACTCACAAACAAGTGCCCATCAAGTCTTCATGATCTTCATTCTCCACCAAATAAACAAAAAGATTTTGAGCGGTCAAACAATCTGGACCTGAAATGATGACCGAATTCTACAGGGTGTTCCATAAATACTGCAACACGGTCTCTACCCTATAACTTCGCTTAAAATTAGCCTAATTTCAAATAGCTATACACAATATTTATTCAAACATTTACAAAATACAATCAATGGTGTTCATTCGATATGTCCTCCATTCGCCCTAATTACCGCCCTCAAACGGTCAGGATATCCTTGTACTGCGGCCCGGATGGTCTCCTGCGGTATCTCCTTCCACGCTTTGACGAGAGACGATTCCAGCTTGATCAAATTGGTGTGTTGTTTAGTGCAGGCTTTCTCCTCCAAAATGGCCCAAATAGAGTAGTCCATTACGTTCAGATCGGGGGAGCAAGCGGGCCATTCAGTCGACGGTATGAAGTCAGGCAAAGTGGCCCGGCACCAGTCCTGAACAATTTTTGCTCTGTGCGCTGGGGCAGAGTCCTGTTGAAAAGTCCATCTCTCGTCGCCGAAATGGCTAATGGACCACGGTAACAAATGCTTATTTGAAACATCCGTAAGGTAGGCATCGGCGTCGAGTTTCGTACCTTTTTCGACGAACACCAGTGGGGTGCGACCGGTGGCCGTTACCCCTGCCCAAACCATTACAGAAGTTGGCTTCTGCTTACGGGAAACAATCCTTCCCATCTTGTCGGCTTCTTCAGAAGCTCGAGCAAGTATCCTCGTGTTTTGGCGGTCATAGCTTTCCTCCACTGTGAAAATTTTTTCGTCCGAAAACACAGTCATCAGGTGATCGCCTTTCTCGGCCCTCGCTAGAAGCGACAAACACTTTGATCTTCTGCTAGCCTTCTGTGCTTCCGTTAGGCCTTGTCGCTTTAACAGCTTGTAGGGATAGACATGCAGTTCTCGTCGAACCACTCTCCACATGGTCGTGCTCGGAATTCCCAGCTCTCTGGCCATTCTTCTTATGCTCCTACGAGGATTGCGCTCGACTCGCTTCTTCACAATTTTCTTGAGACTCGATGTAGCTGAAGCTACGGGACGACCACAGCGTGGACGATCTTCCAGCGTACCTCTCTTCAGTGCACGGCAGATGGTTGATCGGTGCACGTTCAAAAGACGAGCGATCTTCGCCTGAGAGTATCCTGCCTCGCGCAGAGAGAGAATAGCAGCTCTGTTTGGGTTCGATCTCGCCATGAATTGGAAAGCTAACGATTAGGAGTGAGACTTGGCAAGGTTATTAGCAGGGATGTACCGGTAGTATCTATATGCTTTCCTTTCAAAAAAATCAATAACCTAATTGAAAATGGCGGACTCTAATCGATTCATCTATCGTGAATTTTGGAGATTTATGAACACCTGTATTAGTGTTGAGCGCCAGATCCTTAGTGATTGATCACAATCATGAATGAAGTGAATGGATATCTTGCATGCCTACGGAATAATGATAAGTACCAGTTCTCTTGCTCATAGTACTGCGCGCACTACGCGATAGGTACCGTGAAACTATACAATATTTAGATCCAATCTAATGCATACTTCGAAACACTTACTATTGATCCCTTAGCCATGTGATCTGATATTCTACAGACTACCCAATTTCAACGAAGTCCGCCAACTGTAATGCGCGCAGCAACGTGCGGCTCAAGAAGTATTGGGAAAAAAGAGTAAAAATGGAGGTACACCATGAAATGCAAACCAGCGTCATTACGTCTTGGGCTTCGCTTTGGCGCAATACTCTCATTTTACCGGGAAGGACGACCGGTCACTGTCACGGTCGTCGAATCGCTAATCTTCTGGGGTGCTATTCTTGTAAGGGTTGCTATTTTTTTCAAAGTCTTATGTAGATTTGTCTTCTTGGCAATTATTTTCGAAAGGCTTCCAAGGTTATATGGTATCATGGAACTTTTTGCTTCGGAGTAGAGTATGAATAATATCAGGTTGGTCCATGAGTCAAATTAATTTAATGCTAGAGAATTTTGTGAGGTCTCCGAAAATTCTGCGACATGTTTGTTGACGTAGCATCCACCTTTGAATTTCAGGATGCCCTCGTCTTCTTACCCATAATTTTTACGAGTGCTGCTTGAAATGAGCTTGAAGTGTTACGCAAGTTATGCTACACCAAGGATTAGCCAGAAGCTGCTGCTGCTCCACTCTACTTCAACAACCCCGTGACTTGCAACCGCGATGCTCTACCTGATGCTGTTGAAAAAGAGATCTGGATTGACGGTTGGTCACTTGCCAGAGCAACTCTGATGCGACAAGGATGCAGCGTTAAGACATCTCCAAAGACTTGTTAAGATCCGAAGATATAGAGTTTGGATCTCACATGCCTTGAGCCCGAATCAACTCAAAACACGATCTGACATCATCATGTTTACGTCGACTACCTCGGTACCTTCCATCACGTTCGCTGAAGATGAGGAGATGGTACAGTGTGATATTGAATAAACAAGCGGCTAGTCCAGCTCAAACAATCTGGGAGTTTTCTCTGCTGAAGTGCAATCTTGTCCAAGTAGGGCCTTCTCGAATTTTTGGTGGAATACGAGAGGAGCTGAGCTCTGTAAACCACTTCCTTCAAATGTCGCAGTCAATGCAAAAGTCAACCATCCACAGCTGGATTGTAACGCTTTTATCAAAAAAGAGTAGCAATACAAAGAAAATCCCGGAAAATTTTGGAACTCTCGGAGGAAGAGTTCGATTACACACCCTATAGTATTATACTCGTGCTGCACACATACTTCTCTATCGAGATCAATTACTAGAGGAAAAAACTTATTCCAGCCATCATGATGTTTACATCGATACAATCGATAATTCTTCGATAAGCATTCAAAGGAGTTCTACAATAGAGGCACCGTACAGATTCTAGTGCAATGGCTACAGTTTGTAGATATTGATGGTGTTTATTATGCTTGATGAATGGGAAGAAAAGATAATAAATATGTTAAATCAAAATTTAGCCAATCTGTTGCGAGACTTATGGACCAACGTAATAGATTCCACAAGAAGCGCGCTTCTTCTTCCCCCCTATGTTTTTTGTAGATATTGATGGTGTATTACGCTGAAAACGTGAAAAGGTGAAAAGTGGTAAGAGATTTGGAAAACTTCAGGCTGTTTTCTCTCTTGAGAGTAACCAGACTCTTGTGAATGTAAATTTCTCAAAAATCTTTGTCCCGTTTGTATGTTCCCGGTACAGATAGGAGATTTATGACCTCTATCTGCTTTACCTTTCTTTCTTTTTTCACATTCAAGGTTTTGCAGTCGCAATCCATTAATTCATATGGAATCATGAAATTGACGTTTTCCTAGAAAACAGGAAATAATTTTGAAATTGACAGGATCAAAAAATAGTCCTGCTGGTACAATTTTTCTTCTATGACCTTTTGGGCTATTCTCCTAAGCGCACTAGTTCACCTGTAACTTTCCTCAGAATGGTTTTTTCTAAAAGTGAAGATCGCGGGAAGCTACGACTATTCCGGTGTCCCGCTAATCGATTCATTTTAAAAGTCATCGAACTACAGGCCTTCTTGTTCTGGAATTATTCTATGACTCTTGTGAATTCATTGTGCCCATTGCTAGTATTCCCTTATTTGGTTTTTTTTTCAAAGAAATCAGTTTTCCTGCGGAGTAATCCGGCACACGATAGACGGTTTCAAATAAGTTCTTCCAATAGTCCTCCACTCTTGCGCTATACGAAGACTTGTTCTTCATCATCAGAAAGAATCTTCTCATAGAATCTTAGTTTCTCCTTGTGATCACCGCTTTAACTTCCATCAAGGTGGTATCAATAGCCGCCAGCAGCGAGGCAAAACTTGTTACTTTGCTTCTTGTATCCAGACGCAACGATATGAAGTGGAAGTTCCTAACTCGTAGATTTTCATCACGTACATGTCAGAATGTTGAGAAGCTAATCGCAAAGCCAGCATTCAACTGTGAGCCAAAGATGACCAAGGTCGTCAATGATGTAAAAAAAGTTGTGAATTCGGAACTCCGAGAGAGATAACAAAAAATCGGAAATGGAGCCAGCGTGAGAATTCACAGGGTGAGCCAAACTCATGAGGACAAATACAAGACATTATATCGTTAAGAACACATAGTAGCGTGATGGAACAAACAAACGCGGAAAAGTGGTTTCAACTCTTATTTCGAAGTATATCCAGAATAGGATTGAAATCTGCGACCTACTGCGTTTGCACGAGCCTTCAGATGGACAGGGATATGCATGCGGGGTCACGCAACCAAGGCACTTCAAAATGTTTCCTGATCTCTGCTTTACCTCTTTCAGGTATGGTTTTACTAGCGCTCGCTCAGGGTGCAGTATAAACATCTAGACATATCAGGTAGACGGCCCCCAGGTAACAGTTCTCCGGAGAAAAGTAGTTCAAGGAATCCTCTTTTGGAAATCTTCTGCTTTATTTCTGAGTGCTCTGTCCTGTAAAAAGTCCCGAGTACTCGAGCGCCTTTCCATACAACACGGAGGTGGAATCTTTAAAGTGTTTGGGTTTTGGGTTTTTACAGCAATTTTTCGTCTAAGGAGAACGAAAATTTACAATAGAAAAGCTAGTTTCTGCATCTGATGACTTAAGAATGCCACACGGATACAGTTACGATAATAGCCGAGTTTTATTGGCTATCTTCTTCTGACAGGAATACCAAAATATCGGATATAATCAACCACTTGACTACGTATACCATCCAATCGATCAAAAAATACGATGATCTCAATCTAACTGCCAGTGAGAGGAAAAATGATAGGAAAGAGGCAACTCAGCGAAGCTCAATGAAGCTCGGTACGATCGTCGAAGAGACACAAGTGCAAAAAGCAAGGCCTATGTTTTTAATGGCCGTTATATAAGCGAAGCTTAGCCAGCCTTATATGATCGCTTCATTTTTCTCTCGCGTCGCATTAGAAAATTCCTTTCGCAAGAAATTCTTCGGTGCCCTCGCAAACATGACCCCAATCGCATGGCGCTTCGCTGCAGCAACTGGAAAGATATCAACAAATAAGAGAAAATCCAAAAGTCCAAAATCACGTTCCGCGATATGACTGTCCTGCCGACAATTGTAACCTTTGGGTCTCCACCTTTTTCATCTGCGATGGCTCCGAAATTATTGTAGCGTTGAACTGCTGCTTATAAGAGCTGCTCTTTTACGTCGAAGTGCTGCAGATGCCAGAACCTTTACAGGGTTGAAACGAAGCACCTTGATGTACTTATTGCACTTTATTAAGAACTACGCGCTATGTGGTTCCAATAGTAAGATGACATAAACACAAACACACATAAAGCACAGAAACGAAATGGAAATGAAGCGAGTCGAAACAGCGGATGTAATCACCACACGTTGCCCTCATAATTTGTGCCACCCTCTATGCAATACTCCTTCGGGAAAATGAGGACTAATGCCAACTGCACAGTTGGCTTGAAACTTTTGAGTGATTTTTCAGGTTGACGGTTATTTCAAATATAAATGCGTGACAGGCGGGAGGCGTGGATGGGATGTTAATATCGTCGCCTGTGTAATGAAGGACGGCACTGAGGTATGCATACATTTAGCTAGCTTATTTAGCTACTACCACTTTCGTCCTGTGGCACCACTGAGACGTCTCTTTCTGAAAGAATGCTTGATGCTTCCCGCTGTGCTCACCTTTACTTGTTCAATCAACATTTTGTGAGGGAGGTGCCCTCCACAGTTAGGTGTGCTGTACAGAGAAAGGTTTGTCGCAATCATGATTACGTTGAAATAGTATCAACACTGATTTCGACCACAATTTTATTATTTCTATATTCGTTTCCTTCCCTCTGCCCTCCAGTTGCCAGCGCAATGCGGAGGGATGTTATCATAATCATCATCGCATCACAAAATTGATAACGTAACCACCTAGCTCCTTAGTTCTCTCAGCGCATGCTTTATTATAATAGCTGCTTTTTGCGGATGGAGAAAACGACACACGACGCATAATCTTAGTTCCACCTACAAATTTCCCAAGAACTAGAATTTGGAGATGTTCTTGAAAAGGGCTCTACAGAAAAAATAGTGATACATGCAAATGCGAATCTAAATATTATCACGGGAATCCAGTTTGAGAATGCAAAAAACTTTTATCGTCATTTTTTTGAAAATACCAGACTTGCCTATGACGCAAAACCCTAATTCCACCACATATTTCTCTGCTGCATTTTGCTTTTACCCAATCGAATTTTGAAATTATAACCACTCAAGTCCCTTAGCTTATAGCAAAAGCAAAACCGACTGTCGAACTTCCGTAAAAGGAAAACCCTAGCAAAAGAGACGAAGGAGTTGTTGTAGTGTCAGCTCACGCTAAAATTTGTCGGAGTGGCTTCATAGCGAACAAGTTTCTTAAGGATGCTACAGGATATGATTCTGGGAAGAAATCTGATAACTATCCGTCCGAGATAAGCACCGTATCGTGAGAAAATTATACGACTTTACGGGTATGAAAATCAAAACTTCTTCAAAAGTTAGTGTCTCAATGGAAGCAGTTTCACGTGTTTTACAACACGCTCGTGACAGTCCATGCTGGAAGATAAAAAAAATATGCTTCAAGTAAAACGAAATCAGAGCACATAACGAGCAATTTTTCACAAAAAGTTTTGCTAAGTAGAGCGAAGCGAGGACACTTTTTTATCTGTGATATTTTGGAACCTCTGACCATCCTACTGATCATTTTCTTCTCCATACATGCGTGCTACGAAGTAGAAAACCGATCTAGGAAAGAAAAACGGTAAGAGAAAGTACGACGCGAATCAAAAGACGCGAATTAAAGAATGCCACCGCTTCACTCAAACTGGCTGAGCTTTCAAAGAAGAATTGCTCGAAAAACGCTCGAAATGTGTCCAAAATACATTCATTCCAACGTAAGCAATAACGAAGGAGACATTCGTCACCGTCCGATTTTGTTTGGGTAGGACATGCTTTCAAAGTTGCAGAATCGATTGGAAGGTGTTATGTGATCATGACCAGTTGACAGAAGCCGCTTGTAGTAAACACATTTCGTAATTCTATGATCTAAACAACAACTTCATTTGCCCTGGGCCTTTCATTCACGGTTGTCGTTTTTTCGACAGCGTCCCTAACACTAGCGTCACTCTCAACGAGGTGTTTAGAGCGAGGTAGCAGGCGGTAGATAGAGGAGATCCCTTTGCAGCGCGTGTGCACATGTAACCCTAGTCCTTGCAGAGATGCACTTTCATTCCTTGTATACTTTCAATTACTTCCTTCTCGAAGGTAGAGGAACGGAACGACAGAACCTGCAAAGAGTATTTGATATCATGTTTTCCTACAAATCACTATTTTCTGCTGCGTTACATCCTAGCCCTGCTATCTGCACCACGGCCACTGACTTTACTGACCCGAACGAGCACGACCCCCGTGATCCACCTTGACAAATACCACCCCCTGTCGAGGATTTCCTCGACCGATATTCACCCTGATTCAAATCGATGTGTTCTACCGAATTTAGATTGAAGCTGGCACACAGAAGACCATCGGTGAAGCGGTAATGGATTGTCGAAAGGAAGCTGATGGAATAACGGTAACTCTCTCTTCAAGTCCCGCAGAGAATGCTTCCTGTGAAGGACATAAACCAGGTAAGTGTTTTGTAGTTGAGGCTTTTTCATCGGCAATCACAACATTTTAGTTTAAGGAGGTACAGTATGAGCAGCGTTGAGGCCTAGACAGGTATTGGACATTTACTAGGCCGATTGAAAAAAGAATATACGACCACCTCTTCTCGGGACGGTGAACCTCCCACACCGACTCGCTGGAAGGGGTCATCCATCACCCTTCTCCCTTTGTCACGGTCACCCTTTTCAAAGCATCTGATTCTGGTGCCAAGGACGAATCAACGCTGAAAAAGCAGTCCACTTCAAATTAGAATAGAGATGGTCAGTGATGTACGAAAGAAGAACAAACTCATGAAAATGACCTAGAACCCAAGAAATGAGACCCCTTCCTTGCACGATGATTTGCGCATTGATGCGACTCTCATCTTTGTGCACTCTCAAACACTACACTCTCTCTGCTTTCTAATCGCTCGCCACATATAGACCTGCAGCGAGTGATTAGATGGTCAGGGGCGTATACCAGCCAACCGTGCCAAGACTAAGCTATGCTGGAGGTCGTCTTTCGCTCCCAATTGTGCGTTGGTCCCCTCACAAGGCCGCCTGTATCGCAAATAATTTCCCCCTTCTTCGGCCTTCGTTCTTATCGTGATTTCGTCCATTTAAGCTTTAAACCAGCAATCCTTCATCGAACTCGCGAAGTTTTCGTGAAAATCATGGAAGAGCTCTAAAAATCCAAGAAAGAAGTGAGAGGTTAGATGGAAACATATCTGGGAGGAGTCGAAAGTGGTAGCAACCGAGAAGAACCGATAAGGGCGATTAGAAAGGTGAAAGGTGAAAGTGGGAGGAAAAACAGATTTTCCTATTCCAATGTGGAAGGTACAAGGGGTTCTTAGACGGCATAAGCATCAACAACATCCAAAGCATGATAGCTGTTTACGCTAAAGGATGATAGGGCTAACGAAGTAATAGCATTAGTCATCGAAGCTCATTCGGCTGCACCATGATAGTTTGCGAAAAATGAAAATGTTTATGGGTAATAACGAGCTAGGGAGATGGCTTCGTCATCTGCACTACGGTATTATAGCTTTTTGAGAATAACATCAGCTAGATCCATTTATATCGTGCATGCTGTTTGAAGGAAACAACCCCGCTGGCTTCCACGTAGATCGGCGATCTCCGCGTTACCAACCGATAAGGTCGAAGACAAAATGTGGTTAGGCGAGCGTTACCCTATGGCAGATACAATACGATTCTCTAAGAAGAAACGCCTGGCTCGGAATGTGGTGCACTCTAGCATGAAAATTGAACGATAACGATGGCTGCACCATATTTAGCACATTGCTACTGCATCCCCTTTCACGCCTGATACGGAAGTGCAACGGCGATCCGGAAGTGGGCATCGGCGCCTTTTCACGCCATTGATGGGGCGCCACTGCCCCTAAAGCGTCAGCTCGTCATTGGGTAGGATCTCTATCCCTTCCACTATGTCACTTTTCTCATCGTCTCCTCAAGCATTTTTGTGAGCACCCCCTAATATAAGAGCTCGGCCATGCACAGTTATGTTAAAACCTACTACCTACGACATACGCGCGGTAGCGAGCGGAGCCAAATCGGTAATACATATTTCCCCAGCTGTTGCTATTAATTCTTCTAAGTGCTAATTGCAAACAATTCGAGCACTCGAACACAGCGATGAATAAGTGTAGAGCTTTTTTTTATCAAGAAGTCTTACTTTCTATGTCAGTAGTTCGTTTCTGAGTATTTCCGTATCAGGTGAAGAGTGGCTACATGCTGATATTTTCAAAGTACGATGTGGTCAATATGGGAAATGGCAATTTTTGGGTTGTGTCGTTGATGGGACCTTCTATAAGGACGGAGAAACATTTCAAGTAAGCAAACTTTTAAGAGAAATATGTATAACACGATGATTTTTACCTTATCTTTCCATAAAGTTTTTGAAAAAAAAACAACTTTGTTCATTGCAGATTGCGCGAGAAGATATGAAGTGCTGGAACCAGAAAGACGGGAACAAAGACCACTATAGGTTGTCCCCTGTAGAATGAAATATTGCGTAATGAAGTTTTCATTTTTCGGGTTCCTTCTCTCTCAGAATTGAACGGCTGCTTTGTCATGTTCGTCAGAGGCAAAAACAACACCGTACATTTAAGTCTTTTCGTTTTTATTATGCATCACAAGTAAAATTGTTCGTGTCTGTAAATAATGATTATGCAAGTGTTAAGAACGAATCGAGTAAATGCCGTACACTGATGGGCCGTAGAACTTCCAAGGGCGCATTTCACAGCAAGCGCACCTGGTTCACGTGAGCGATTAGGAGTTACTTGCGAAGCTTGAAGTGTTTATAAATGTGATTTATCTGAAACTAGAAAGGAGTAATCAGATGACAAGGAGTATCACCTCCACAATCTAAAAGGGAGGCACGGCCGGTCAGCCTAGCAACAATATGTAGGAATCGTGTAGTTTTTTGCATGTCGTAGCCGCTCGGCGATGTCTGTTCTTCCTCTTTTACTCGATAGTGTGCTGCTTGTGCAATTCTATTATTAGGTCATCTCATTGAGACATGTGCACGGTTTTATCCGAACGAAATGAACAACAAAACACATATAAGGCGTCAGGGCCTAACTACTTAGGCTCCATTATTGTTGACCGCACAATCCCAGCGTTCAGCAAGCATTTGAACGCCAAGCAGCTTTCTTCTCAACACCTTGACGACAGCACGACAACTATGTAGGCCGCCATGTTTGCGCCTCCATGGACATTGTGGCAACTATATGTATGCCACACCAGTTACATTTATTTTTTCGCACATGCTCGATTTTTCCCTAGGTTTTTTTGTGTTCATTTCATAGGTCATACCTCAACATAACCAAGAACGACATAGCTTATATAACGACTGTTTATTCTAAAGTTTGGCAGAGGTTTTCCGGACCTGAAGAAAATATCCGTTCAATTCATTCCTTATTTCTTTCCATTAATGCGAACATGGAATAAAAAGAATAACAGAAGTGTATGCAAAACTAGTCGTGTGATAAGATATGTCTTTTTACTGAAACAACCACGTTCAAATTAATTCTGGAACCACTGAAGGGAAAGTAAGTTGTATTGGCCTTCTCATGGCCTGAACACATCATTCGGTCAAACTTCCATTACTGTAACTACCAATAAGTTAGACAGGTCGAACATTATTGAAAACGCGATGCGCGATTTCACTAACGTGTTAAACAAGTCCAGATAAAAGGTTTCTAATGTTTGTGCCTGCGATCAATCAGGTGTCGTAACCCTTGCCACCGATCCGTATTTTCAGTTGACCAAAACAGTCGAAATCGTATGGCTGCAAGTCGGGTCGGCGGCTGAATCCAAGTCTCAATATTCTTTTCGTCAAAATACTGCTGAGTACTCTGAGCTACATGAGTGTGGCAATGTCATGTGTGATAAGTGCCTTCTTGTAGTTGTATGCTGCCATCCAATTGTCGATGTTATCACCGAGCAACTGATGACGCACTTCAGCAGTGACTGTGGTTTTATCGGGACAGAGTCGTCAAAAAGCTATGCCTCAGTAATTCATTGCCACAATCAACACCCGCTTGGAACTACGTAACTCCTCATGAGCGATTTCGGACAGCTTCTCGTCAGCGTTCGTCTAAACCCAACGCTTGTTACCTTTAGGCTCGGTATATAAACCCACCGCCTCGTCTATAGCGAGTGTCCGTTTCAGCAGGCACGGATGACGTCGATGGCAGAGGAGCTTGTTACTGCAGGCTTTAATTCAATTTTGGACGTGTACTTCTTCTTCTTCTCCCTAGCGTTAGTCCCGCGCCGTCGCAGGGCCCGCTGTTCTTATCAGTCGTGGCCACTTCGCTCTGTCCAGGGCATCCCCTGCATGGCCACTAGGTCCGCTTAGGTCCTTCTTGACTACGTCCTTCCACCTCTTCTTTGGGGCTCCTCGCGGTTGCTTGCCTTGCACTTCGAAGCCCATTGCTTTCCTTATTGGGTGGCCTTGCGGTCTTCTCATCACATGTCCATACCACCGCAGTCGTTGCTCCCTCACCTTCAGCTGGACAGGAGCAGTATGACTCCGACCTCCTCTTTTCTGACCCTGTCCAGTCGCGTCCAGCCGCAGGCCCACCTCAGCATCCTCATTTCGGCAGAGCGAAGCTGCCTTTCGTGGTACTTGTTCAGGGGCCAGCACTCGCAGCAGTAGAGCATCGCAGGCCTTACCACTGTTCGGTACACCTTCCCTTTGAGCGTTCTAGAGCACCTTCGGTCGCAGAGGATTCCAGTGGATTCCCTCCATTTCATCCATGCCGCGTTGATCCTCCCCTTTACTGCCTGGTCCACACTGCCGTCGACCGCCAGATCACTCTCAAGGTATCAGAAGTCCTCCACTCTCTCGATGCTTTCGCCATGTTCATCCACGATCGGCTCCGCACTCTCTTCGGAGCTCAGGAACTTGGTCTTCTTGACATTTAGCCGGAGCCCCCCTTTCCGCCAGAGCCTTCTGCCACTTCTGCACCTTGGCCTGTAGTTCTTCTCTGCTATCAGCTATCAGGGCGATGTCGTCAGCGTAGAGGATGGTCTCTAGTGGCCCTTCTATGAGCCCCTTCACCATGACATCTAGTGTTAGGAGGAAGAGGATCGGACTCAGAGCTGACCCTTGATGCACATCTAGCGTGATGTTCTACCCTCTTTTGTTAGGGCATGTGGGTGTGCGTTATGGCTGATTAGCCCCCGTCGTACTTGTTCCTTCGCCATCGAGACCCAGGGTGTTCTGGCAGCTCCGTTCCTAAGCGCTCTCCATAGTACCGCTCATGTAGCGGCGTCGAACGCCTTCTCGCACGGTACGACGGGAGGCTAGGTAACAGGGTCGGCGCTTTTCTCCGATCCTTCTCCATCAACCTGTCCGCCGTGTCTTGCCGATGAAGATGGCATCGGTAGTAGATCTTTCGGGCATGAACCCGAACTGTTTCTGGGAAGATCGGCACCAAGCTTCTCCGCAGTTTTCGAGTCGACCAGCTCGCTCGTACAAGCGTCAATTGTATGAGCAGTCCGACGTTGATCCCTGCGTAGTTTGGAGCATTCCCCATCGCGTCAACCATCTGCTTGAAGATGGGGACGATGTACTTGTTCTCACAGGCATTCTCGCATCCTTCCTTTTCGCAGTTATGTTGTTGAGGAATCCCCCCCCCCCCCCCCCCGCCCCACTGTGAGCCATCTTACTCCTGTATTGCACCGAGCCCTTCCAAGCCTCATTGGCACCGCCATCTGGCCAATCGCCTTCCCAAGTCTTCATACAATATCTCTCACACCTAACCTCATCCTCAGCCCAGAGTGCGACTGGGACCAGCTGTGGCCTCTCCCCGTGGGGTTGTTCCTCGTGGGGGAACCTCCTCGTTCAGAAGTACACTGTAGTACTCTTCCCATCCCTATTCACTTCGGCTGGCTTCCTTAGGATGACACCATCTCTTGCCTTTCACACTTTTCACACCCTGATGTCATTGGGTAGCACGGTGCCGGGCCTTAGCCAGCCTAAAAACTCTCTGCGTTTCGGCTCTCCAGCTTCTCGTACAGGCGTTCGTCCATTTCTTGTTCTTTGCCCTTGCGACGGCAGCCTTCGCCAGGCCTCTTGCAGGTTTTGTAGGCAGCGAGTTTCGCGGGACTTCGGCTCTTCTGCCAGCGTTTGTATGCTTCCTTCTTCCTCTTCACGACTCGCTGGACTTCCTTCGTTCCAGAACCACGCTGTTGTCTCCTCTGAGTCCACCCGCGTCTCTCCGAGTACTGCTCCTTGGCACAGCGAGGAATGGTCTCAGCCGCGTTGCCCAAGTCCATTGTACTGGCGCCGTTAGGATCTGGGAGATCGACACTTCGCATTATCTTTCGGCCTGAAGGTCAGCTCTTCTCAGCTTGTGCAGCTTCCGACGCCACCGGCATCTCCGTCTTCCAGTCTTACCCTTGTCTCCTTGGGGAGGTCATCGCAAATGGTTCTGGCAGAAAGGGCCTGCGCTGGGCGCCAGGTCATCGCTGGAAGATGAAGCTTTTGATATCCTTCACAGTTTTGAGGGTTGATTCTTCTCAACCAGCATCATTGGTTCAATTTCCGCTGTCTCCCTCCAACCGCTGTTAGATTTATCCTTTTTGTAACTTCCTTTTGGCGACAAGGTGTCTGGCAGACAGCCAAGTCGTGGGCCAGGTCCAGAACCCTCTCTCCTTCAGCGTTCCTCGATCCTATCCCTCTACCACCGTGCACCCTCTCTAGGCCTTTTCTCTCACTGCCGACGTGGCCATTCGAATCACCTGCTATGGTCAGGTAATCGCCTTCCGGAACCGAACTTATGGCTTCGTCCAGGCTTAGATAGAACTCGTCCTTATCGCTTTCGGGGCACCCGGCTTGCGGTGCGTACACGGAGAGTATTGACCAGTACCCCTCCTTCGTGTCCATCCTCACAGCCATGATCCGATCGCTGATCCTGTTCCCAGCGGAGACGTAGTCCTTGAGCGACCCCGCGCTATGGCCACGCCGTTCAGCTTAGTGTCTTTTCCATTGTAGCAGAGATTGACACCTTTCCCGAATTCCCTGGCCTTAGCACCTTTCCATCGCGTCTCCTGAAGGCATAGGACATGGATATTCTTGCGCGTCATCAGGTCAGCAACCTCTCTGGACTTCCCAGTCAGCGATCCCACGTTAAGAGTCCCTATTCGAACTAGCTTCTTTGGCCGAGGCCGTTCACTCCTCGGTAGCCCTCGCATACTGACCACAGAACTCGGGCGGGGGTTCTGCGCGCCACTTCCGGATGACGTCCTGGCTTTATCACTGATTCTTTGACAACTTTTAGACATACTGATTGGTGTGACTGGAGTATTCATCAGCCGGCCTGTCAACCTGGGCCTGACGCTGGTACTAGAACCATTTTCGCAATTTTTGCAAGGCGTTTCGAGCCTTGGCAGGGATCGAACTCGCGGTTTTTCAGAAGTGCAGACGTGAGCCCAACCTCTTAACCACTCGGCTATCCCTGCCTCAGACTTGTACTTCTGTGAGTAAATGAGGTACTGGAAAAGAAATCTTCTTAAACATCTTCAAATCTTTGTACTCAATTCGGCCTACGTTTGCAGCAGGGATGCCGCTCTCATAGGTAAGCTCCACAATGCTCCAGTCTCTATGTTTAGCCATTCGACGCTTGATTTAATCCACTCGTTCGTCGTGGTCGGGGTGAACATTGTGGGCATTTTCTCGACCTTCACTCGTGCTCGTTCTTCCTTTTTTGAACCTTCGCACCCATTCTTTCACTGTACTCTTGGAGAGTGCTCAGCCACGCAACTGTTGATCCAACTCGCGATGAAATTCGGGAGCGGATTTTCCCTGTATGAGGCACCAGTTGATAATTTCGCGTTGATCTTGCTCGCTTACTGCTCTTTTCATGATTTCTTCTCCGGTCATGCAGTCGAAAATGGGCGATCCCTTAGCTAGAGAGCCTGCCCTCAAATCAATACAAAGTTATGGCTCGAATCTCTTCACTTTTCCCGCCATTCCTCCATACGCCTGGATATGTTTGAATGAGATGACCTTATATTTCCCTTAGTTAAAGATAGAGTTCACGATCAGAAGGCAACCCATAAGAATCAAGGTAGATGTGGTCAGTGGTGCTCCGTATAAAAACACCTACGAGCACAGAACATGAGGAATAGGTCCCCTCAGTTACCCTGTCGTGTATCACGAGGACCACTCCGAGGGACCCTCGAGTGCGCCGACGCCTGCGGTAGTCACCGCAACAATTGACCCCTACAATCAACATGATCGTGCAGGAATCCCACCCTCGAAGACGACGGTGACTTCCGTCACGTTCCGACCCTACCTTTTCTTTAAACACTTAACTTTTTTCACAATTATCTGTGCTACGATTTTGTGGAGCTTCGGCCCACAGAATATCTTTTCAAGTCCCTGGGATTGTTTCACTAGCCATAGGCCCTTACCTTTTTGAAGACTCTCTGTCATTCATCATTTTATCCGCTCCGTAGTCACTAATATTCGTTTCTGGTTGAGTTCATAAAGATATTATTCTTTCTGCGTATCGTCTTATGCGCCATGTGACATAGGTGAATGTCTTATCATTTGTCGACTTGCTAATTTATAATGAACCGGATTGGTCCCCCGGCAAGCGCCGGAACCTCCCTACCTTGCGTAAGCTTTCCTTCCCCCTCCTCTCCTTACTCCCCCTCATTCCCCTCTGCTCGCCGGCTACCATAGCATCACGTTGTCGAATGACCGAAAGTGTGCTAAGTGCGTGTTTATATAGCCGTTGGGGATGCTTTCACAATCATGCCATTGCAAAACACTTAGCTAAAGTTCTGTGACGCTATGATCCTGTTAGCGATTTGTTTTATCCCGATGAACTTCTCTCACTCACTTTATTCTTTTGCGGACGCGACGTCACCGCCGCCCAACAGACATACAATACATACATACGAACACAACACATACACACATACAAACCGACACAAAAAGTTAGTGCTTTGTATAAAATAGAAGGAGTTTATGTCTCTCCTTATCCTTCTCCACCTCCCTCCACTAAGCCCCAGCTGCCTACAGCAGCACAATGCGAGATGACTGGAGAGTGTGCTAAATAGTAAGTAGGTGTCTAGATTAGAATTGGCGCTATAAGTTTTGCATAAAGAGAGAAGCATTCTAGAGAATCTTTGTGAGAACTCCGAAATTCCACAACATGTTGATGAAGTAGCATCCACCTTTTTGCAATTTCAG